CTGCGATGCAAATATTGGAGAGTCAGTCGTTTATCATGGAATGTCCTGGTGGAAAATTAGTTTTGAAGGTACGTGCGTACAAATGTTTTTCTTATTTCCATGGAACATCCATTGGGTTTCGTTTTGTTTCAGGTGGATACTGATACTGCAAAATCTGCTATAGCGGATAATGGTATGCTTGCACAAGTGGCTGCACTCAACTTATGAAAATCTGAGCGTTGTATTCGAGGCTTTTTACCCTGATCATACCTTTTTGGTCATTTTATCATATCTGGCTTGTCCGAAATCTTGCAAACATTTTTTGCACTTCTTTTTGTACCACAATTTGCAGAATTTTTTCAAAAACAAGGAACGAGGAAGGTTCTTAACGATGTAATTAACGGGATTCTTTGAATTATAACCGGTAACTCTATGACTATTTATTCTATTTTTTTTTGAAAACTACTACTTTTTTAAATTTATTTGAAGTTTAATCACTAGGTCATATTCGATGACGAAACGCTTTTGGCTTAGAAGAATGGGTTGAATATTTTTTAAGCATATCATTGCTTACTCACACATTCGAGCACTTTTCATCGTCCTATAATAACAGTTAATTAATTGAGATTGTTACATTGGTACTGCTGTAACATGGCTGAACTTATCGATTGGTCTTTCTTTTTATCGTTACGAATATGTCTTTCCTAAGTAATTGCCTCTGAACTATTTTAACATTTGCATAAGGTTGTCACTTTGTGCTCAGTCTTTTCACTTGTCGCTGGATACTGTTTCCTAAAATTACGTTTTCCTGTATAAAGATACTCTGTAACCTCTTCTGTTAGCATTTTGGTTGGAACCTGCATATCTCTCTTCTAGTTTTGTTATTTCTGGAATGTATTTAAGTCAAAAAAGCTTAAAGAATGTTTCTGGGAGATGCTTCACATCACAAGTTTTTTTTCCAATAAATGCTGTAGGAAAAAACTATTTTTAATGGTTGAGATGTAGATTGAGATTTGAGTAATGTTGAGAGAATTGGAAAGTTCTTAGAATTTATTTATGTTTACTTCTGCACAGTAAAAGGAGCATAGGCCTGCCAATTGAGATTTGAAAAAGGCAGTTGTTGTTCATTACCGTACTTGTTTCTATTTGATGTGGTACGCCGTTAAAAATGTGCAGAAACATCTGCGTAAGCGAAAAGAAGACCTCATAACTTACTAGCGTAAGACGTTTACGTTTTGAAAGTCATTAAGAGAAATGAGAAAACTCTAAAAATGGAGAAAATTCGAAATCAGAACGTTCGTACTGATGCATGTCATGGTAATTGCACAGATAAAATCTGGCTGTTTTTCAACAGAAGAGCATTGAATTTCATAGGAAAGCTTCGAATATAAACTTAAGATCCTTCTGCAGGCATCGAAAATGCGCCCGTTGACTGAAGAGGAGACAGAGAAGGTATTCGCAAAATTGGCGACTTTCATAGGAGATAATGTAGCGTTGTTAATTGAGCGAGAAGATGGCGAGTACTGTTTTCGTAATCACAAGGTTCGTCTAATTCTGTTTATTCTGGTAAAAATTCAAATAAGACTTCTCATGATTTCGTAACTAGTCTGGAATAAGAAGCATCAAGTTTTTCTTCTTTTTGAATGAAAAATGCGAATATCAGTATTGTTGCATATTTAAGGAAAGAGTCTACTACTGTACGGAGAATCTTATGCGGCAAGCCGGATGCATAGCTCGAGAACCTCTGCTATCCTTTGGAACGTGTCTTGGAAAGTTTACGAAGTCGCACAAATTTCATCTTCACATCACTG